GCCCACACGGGAAGGGGCGGGGCCTCAAGCGGAAGGGGCGGGGCAAGCATAGTCTGGGGGTGGGGGAGCACGTGAAGTCTCCTTCCCTGCCAGGAGCTCATGGTGCTTCTAAGCTCCCTGCGCTCCTGGGAGGAAACTTCATGCACGTCCCCCGGCCCTAAACAGCCTGGTGGCAGGCGAGCAGCAGGGCCTCCGCGGGCTGGATCAACATGCTTGGTATGAAAATAGCTTTGTGAAGAGGTGGGCAATAATTTTTGGCCGGGGGCCAGTTCAAATTGGCCTGGGGGCGGGCGAGCAGCAGGGCCTCCGCGGGCTGGCTCAACAAGCTTGGTGGGCCACAGCCAGCCCGTGGAGGCCCTTTTGCCCACCCCTGCCTTACAGGTCCCGGCTCTGACCTGGCCCCAGTGCAGGGATGGGCGACTGGCTAGCTCAGGGTTGGTGCTGTGCAAGGATTTCTTTCCCCCTCGATTAGGCGTGGGAAAGACGGGGGGGACACGTCCCTGTCCCTTCCCCTAGAGACTCCAGCTGGGACGCTGGCATGGGGTGAAGCCGAGCAGGCCCAGCTCTGTGGGACGACCTGGCAGGGTGGGTGTGGAGCCCACCTTGCACTTCCAGGAGTCGGTGGGAAGGCTCTCGATGGCCGGCTTCAAGCAGAACGTGTGGTAGCCCTTGTCGCAGGCCTCGCACACCTGCGGGGAACAGGCTGCCGGCAGCCCAGCCCCAGGCCCCTCAGCACCATCCCGGCCTCCCCCCCGAGACCCACAGGCTGTGGAGAGGGCTGGCGTGGCATGGGCACCTTCCCAGCAGGTCCAGAGACATGGAGGCACCCAAGGACAAAGCAGCACAACTGAGGAGAAAACCAAGGGGCCCGAACTCCCAGTCCTGCTCCCCCTCACCGCACACACACACTCTATCCCACAAGACCCCAGTCCCCTCCCAGAGCTGGGGAGAGAACCCAGGAGTCCTGCCCCACCCCGCTCTAACCACTAGACTCCACTCCCCTCCCAGAGCTGGGGAGAGAGCCCATCCCAGCCCCCACTCCCCAGACCGGGCAGGCCAGTGCAGGTCACACAGGGCCACCTACCTGCATGTTTGGCAGACTTTGCACTCGGGACACTGCCAACCGGAGCGCTTGCGGGGCGTGATGGTGATGTCCAGGCAGGTGCCGTGGTAGTGCAGCCCGCAGCTGGTGCAGAAGAGCAGGTCGCGCAAGTCCCCAGGCCCGTCGCACACCATGCATCGCGAGTCCTCTGGGGGTGGGGGCAGGGAGTCAGGGAAACCAGTCCTCCTGCTGCCCCACCACCCAGAGCTCTCCTCCAGGATCTCACAGCGAAATCCACCCGGTCCCCCAGCTCTACCGGCACAGCACTGCTAGATCCAGGAAAAGCCCCCAGGAGTCTGGTTCCCTGCCCCTCCCCCCACCTACTCTAACCACTAAACCCCACTCCTCTCTGTGTCGGGGATCAAATCCAGGATTCCTGATTCAGAGTCCCCCCCCCCTCTTACCACTAAACCCCACTCCCTTCCCAGAGCTGGGAGAAAACCTAGACTCCTGGCCCCTGCCCCTCCCACTCTAGCCACTAGACCCTACTCCCCATGGTCCCTTAAGGTGCACTTTATCCACACCCAACCACCACCAGCCCCCAGGCAGCCCGTCCCCGCCCTTCCTCGTGCTTCACGGCACCCACTGCTCAGAGACCCCCGTGGCACCTACCCATCTGCACCGCCTCAGCCACGTGCTCCGGGCATAGGAGCCGGAGGGTTTTCATGGACTGGAAGGAGCCACTGGCAGCTGCGCACGGGAAGTGGTAGTGCCGCGGACACCCCTCCGAGTGGCACTGAATGGTAGCACCCATCCTCTGACAGTGTTCACATTTCTGAAAGCAGCAAGGACCCCCCCGATTAGTGATGCAGACGGACGGACAGCCACTGTCACAGCCGGGGAACCCACCAGCCCTGATATGCAGCCGCCTCTGGGGTGGGGTGCAGCAGCTGCTTAACAGCTATGAAGCCACATGAGGCAACGATTCCTCTGAGATGCAGCCCCCTCTGGGGTGGGGCACGGCAGCTGGCTCAGGACAAATTCACAGCCTGACAGATTGGGCCAGGAAGTGAAGGAGAAGCTCTTGGCTGTGCATAGTCAGGGAGGTGACCGCAAACACCCGGGGGGCGTCTGTCCAGGAGTCGTGCCAAGCCCCTAACCCTGCTCAGAGGTCTCTCCTCGGGGGAGGGGGGGGGGAGGCCCTGCTCAGCCAGACACCCAACATGAGCACAGCCCAAGCGGTCACCTCTCTCCCAATGCCAGGGGGCCCACAGGCTCTCCCCCCTTCCCATCTGCAGCCCCCTCACCTGCGAGATCCCTGAGAAAACAGCTTTGCCCACGTCACTCGGCCCGGATCCAGTCTGCGGCTGCACCCCCACCGACCAGGCCGCGCACCAGTGGTGGGCCCAGCAGTGCCCTGTAAGGGGAGGCAAGGGGTTAATGGGGCATGCTCAGGGAGGAGTCCCCCTTCCAGAATTCTGCCTGGCAGGCGGAGTGTCCTCCACAGACACGTCTTGGGATGCCCCAAGGGGCACAGAGCGTCCGAAAAGAGATGCCTGAGCTTCACAGCAGCCTTTGCACCCGTGTCCCCAGGATGGGGGAGCACTGGCAGAACGAGGGGGTGAGGGAGCCTAGGGCTGGAGCAGCATGGGGGGCAGGATAACAGAGGCTCCACAGAGCCGGGGGTGGGGAGCCTAGGGCAGGGACGGCATGGGAAAAATGTGGCTGGGGAGGGCTACTGGGGGCACCAGCAGAGCCTAGGGCAGGGGCTGCAGTGCACGAGGCAGGAAGACGCTCACCCCGCGCTGCTCACCTGTTGGCTCGAAGAGCTCTCCTGGTGACACCCGCTCCGAGAAGCCGATCAGGGACAGGTCGTCCCCAGGGGCCTGGGCTTCACCGGGGCCCCTCCTGTCCGGCGGCCCGGAGGGAAGCTCGGCCCAGTCGGGCGCCGGCTCGAAGCGCCGCAGCTCCCGCTGCCCATGCAGGCTCCGCTCACCGCAGGTGCAGAAGGCGCAGGGGCGCCTGGGGCGGGCGGCGGGGAGA